TAGGATAAGAGGAGTAAAGGGAGGAAGTGTGGACTTTAAACGGGTTACGAAAATATAGCTCGAAAGTAATAAGAATGACACTATAAAATTATAATAAATTAGTGAATGGGATTATTTGTATGGAGATTGGTCAAGTTAATATTATGGAGTTGGTGAGAGATAAGTTTGAGTAGGAAATGGAGAAGAGAAAAGCAAGATTGCAATTATATGATTATGCAAGGGGAAGTCAAAGTCAGGTTGAGAGGACTGGAAAACAAGCAGACACAAACAAAGGAAACTACCGCAAAAACAGTCTAGACAAAGAACAACGACTACGGGAGCCTCGGAGAGTGACTCAATAGTTGATAACTTGCGGGATAGAGAATAGATACCACTGCAGAAACGGAGGGTGGACAGTGACAGAGGTAGGAATTATTTCCTACTGATTCAAGTTTGCGACAAAACGTTTTCGATAGTCTTAAATGATTTCTAGGAGTGGGGATGGGGATGGGGTGGGGATTTATGTTTCATCATTTTACTAAAAGTAATTTGTGTCAGCTTATTTGTCATTCTCTCATCTACCAATATTTATCAGTCTGTGTAAATTTGTAAGTTTGTCAGATTGGGGGGTTAGAGGGAAATGGTGGAATTATCCTATATTTTCGCCTTGTTGAAAATGTGATTAAAATGTTGCATGTACTCACATAATTCTTATTCTGTATGGACTACTCTGCCTTCCACAGTCTCCTGCTGCCTTGCAGGCAGATTCAAGAGAGACAATGGCTAGGGTGTTACCATGACATCTGAGCGTGAGCGTGTGAACTTCGTTGATGAAGTCACCGTCCAGGATGCCTCAGCCGAGAGGATTTTGAGGCCACATGCCTGGGACAAAGCCGGTTTCCAACTGTGGTCAACAGTTTGGAGAGGTATGGGAAACGCCAAGCTTTTCTGATCTAGATACACAGGATGAAATAGACAAAACTGCCCAAGATTTCCCAAATGGAAAGATAAGAACATTGCTCTCAGAGCCGTTTGGCCATTTTAATCTTCCTATACGCTACGCACCCTTAAAACAGAGTTAGAGAAAAAGATACAAGCTACAAAAATAAGATGCTTTCGAAGATTGTTGGGCATCTCCTACAGAGATCATGCTACAAATGAGAAAGTAAGGAACAAAATCAAGTATGCCATTAGGCCTTGCGAAGATCTTCTCACCACTGTAAAGAAACGCAAATTGATATGTTATGGGTACATAACAAGACCAACAGCACTTGCAAAGATGATCCTACAGGCACTGTACGAGGAGTGAAATGGAAAGGTAGACAGAGAAAGAAATGGGTGAAGCCAAGTGGTTGCCCAATTATCCTTGGTGCCTCAACGGACTACAGGATAAGTAAGTAAGTATGTACTTACAATGTTAACATCATTGGATTAATGCTTTATACTGAATACTAAACCGAGGTGGTGTTTTGTTTTTAATGTACTCAATCGGTTTTTATTTTGAGAATCATTTAACAAAAGAAAGAGGGAAACGATCACATGATTTTTCTATAATGAAATCCAAATGCGTCGAAATCAACAAAAAATTTTATTGTTTCCTGAAGTGTACAGAGATTAAAATGGTGTAAATACACCAATAAAGAGGCCATGATGGAAAAAGCAATAGAAATGATCAAAACCTTAACTCTCATAATGACATGACTAATATTTCATGAGACATTTGATGTAAATTACACAGTATGGGGTATCCAGAAAGCAAGTTCTGTTTTGAAATTAAGAGAGAATAAACAGTGACCACTCGCCTCCAAATTGTTGTACCTTTTCCCAAGTTCTACATAAGTCTTAGTCACGCGATTTCAATATCAATAATGAAAGACAAATAATATTGAATCAAAATGTATAATGAATAATATTATTCTTTATACCATATGTCCGCTTCTGTTTTTAGGCACATTTTTTTCTTTTTTTTTAAAGCGCAACTCAAGTTTCTTTACACACTCTTCATAAGAAGTTGCCACCTGTAACGTCAGGTAGAATTTCGTTTCCTTTTGCAGTCCGCGCCTGAGTCAAACTTTACAGCTGAAAGCTAAGATCTGCTTCAGATACTTGAAAAGATGATAATTGCTTGATGCCCAATCAGAGCTATAATAATATAATTGGCGATTCAACTGTTCTCATTAGAATTTTCTATTAGGTTATGTGTCTAATATTTCATTGTCATAAAGCAAAAAAGTGTCAGAGCCCAGGATTCTGTGTGTTTTGTTGGGATTTTTTTCCTATTACAGTACGCAATTTCACCAGAATGTTGTAGTAAACATCACAACTCATTGTTCTTTCTTTGGACAAGATACCTACCAACAAGATTCCAAACCTATCACAGAATGTTATGTACGTAAGTTTCTTTATTGAAAAGGTTTGCTCGATTTTTTTTTTCAGTATAGGCCAATCTGTAAGCTTTCATAATTTGGACCGCTGCTCCGACTCAAGTTGAACATGATGCATTCAAGTCTCATCCTTTGTGACAATGTGGCTTAAATATGCATCCCCTTCCGAGCGATATCGTGGTAGAAATGTTGAAATAGCACGTGGGTGTCGTTGATGCGAATGGTCTTGTGTGAGCTTCTAGGTGCTCAGAGAGCATACAACTTTTAATAAGACAAACGCTCCGTGACAATTTCATACTGAACGATTCTCGAAATTTCGTTAACGTTATGGAATAGACAAGAGGCTGTAAATTGTAAATCGTCGATCTTCATACACTGTTTCGTTCGTTGTGTTAAAACTATGTAAGTTCTCGTAACTGTAGAAGGGCTTTCAGCCCTGGGTTCGTCATGGACATTTTTATTTCAAGTACTGTGCATTCAGAAACGAATTGTTGACTGAAAGTTATAATTACATATATATTTATTTAAGTTGTCAACGTTTGAGTACATGTACCTTGATATCACACTAAAGAACCCAGGTATTGGTGAAAATAATAATAATAATAATATGTACATATAGTCAAAAGATAGGTTCAACATTCTGACGTCTACTATCCTTATCCCAGTGATCAAGTGAGATAATTTACCGTTCTTTGCTCAGCAGAGGATGGCTGAACTCTCCAAGCATGGTGCACAATCAAGAAGAGTGCAAAAATGACTTTCTTACTTTCTAGACCACCTTGCAATTCAACACTCATAGTTCAACTTTTTTTTTTCAAACAGAGTAGAAAGACAATAATAATACATGTCCAATCTTCCTCTGGCTCAGTCGCAATTTTAGTTTATTTCATAACGTAGTAAATTCTAAGTCAAGGACAAAGAACAAGCCATAGACCAAAAAAATAAGGCATGTTTTACAAGGATATTAGAGTCATCATTATCACAGCACTGTACGGGTTACACTTATTAATGCTCCCCACAAAATGAAATTAGAGAAAACATTAAAAAATCAACATCATCAATAACTCGCTTGCGAGCAATACAATACTAGTCCCTATCTATGACGCACATCTACAAATAATGATATGCTTCAACTTTTCTAAATGTAAGATGTACTCATCCTTCGAAGGCAAAAGTATCATAGATGTGTGCCGTAGGGAGAGACATCCTGAAGAAGATGTGTACTGACCAGCAGTGTAATATGAAACCACAAGGTGTATACTTGACCAGGAATTCGTTATTGCGATCTGTCTGTTAAAAAAAAATAACACAAAAAGAGCACGATCTTGATTATTAAAAACAACAAATCTCCGTTCACCAGAGAGCTGTATGTCACGAACTTGATTTGGCAGACAAAAGTTACGGTTCCATTAATGCAATATTATGGTGTCAATAATAACATTAATTATAAGAATCAGAATACCGGCGTGATAATAGGGCTCCCTTATAATAATGAGAATGATGATGATAATAATAATAATAATAATAATAATAATAATAATAATAATAATAATAATAATAATAATAATAATAATAATATTAATATTAATAATAATAATAATTTAATAATAATAATAATAATAATAATAATAATAATAATAATAATAATAATAATAATTTAATAATAATAATAATAATAATAATAATAATAATAATAATAATAATACTTGGAGCAATCAAATCTTTACAACAAATTTGACACAAGGCATGTACAGACGAATTTGTTTTTCTTTTTTTTTCCATCCAGGAGCAATAATTAAAAGATTTGAACGAATCAGCAAGTTTATTGGTAACGGCCGACAACCGTGAATTAAATTCATCTTCCTGGCCGCGCAGTTCTTTCCCCTTTTTAGTAGAGGCCAGCAGCACTTTTCTGGGTTGTTACATCTCTCTGTCTCTCTGTCTCTCTCTCTCTCTCTCTCTCTCTCTCTCTCTCTCTCTCTCTCTCTCTCTCTCTCTCTCTCTCTCTAATGTGTGTGTTTTTCACAATTGATATATCTGATACGTTATCAAAAGACCATCATCTTCTATTCCTTTTCACCATTAAAATGAATAATGTTCATCATTTCAGAACATCTCCAAACTTTGACTACTTGATTATAACTTATTACTACACACAAGTTGACACAATGTAACTTAATTAGTATTCGGCTACTTCGGGATGACCATCCGGGCTTAATGAGAGACATCGCTCTTGGAGAGAGACAGAGATGCTCAGTTAATACACTCCCCTACATCTTCATCCAGCTTTTTTCGGACCACGGCGAACTAATCTCTTCAATACCTAGGTGGCTTCTCCACGTCCTCATAAAAATATTTTGATAACATCTAAGTGCACAAACAGTGTTGTAATATTTCAGAATAAATTTATCTGGCTAACACATGCTATTATTGTGCACTTAGATGTTATCAATATATTTTTATGAGGACGTATATATATTTATATATATATATATATATATATATATATATATATATATATATATATATATATATATGTGTGTGTGTGTGTGTGTGTGTGTGTGTATGTGTGTGTGTGTGTGTGTGTGTGTGTGTGTGTGTGTGTGTGTTGTTGTTGTTGTTGTTTTTTCTACTACATCATGCCACGCTTCTTTCACAAACGTAGTAGGCAGTGGTAAGGCAGGAAACGTCCAACAGCAAGTAATTGTGACGCGGCCGTGTGGTCACACAGTCCTCATCCCCGTTAGAGCTTGGTTCTCCTGCAATCGAGAAAGGAGATGAAAGAGAAGTGGAATTGGGTATTGCTTGTCAACCAAAATCAAAAATACTCTTATTACTTTTTAAAAAGGTAGTGATCTACGTTCTCTTACGTTAGATAGCGTATACATGTTCAAGCTCTCTACGCTAACTAGCTGTCTAAGCTCCACCTTGAAGATCCTCTCTTGATCACGATATCTATGTATTTAATAATATTATTTTTATGGAAACAAGCCGACAATGCCGCTTGCACAGTGCTTTCGCTTAGTATTCGAGAGCTATGTACTTTCGCAAGTGAGTTCTTTCTCGCAAAATTAAAACGCTAGCGAAAATAAAGCCGTCCACGTCTACGTAACAGTATCTTGTCTCTACAGCAACGCTAAACCTGAACTATACAACGCATATTTTCACCCCATCAAGATCAGTCACCCCCCCCCCCCCTGCCCCCATACACACAGAGAATTGTTGACACTACGCTCACAATACTGTACATGTACACATACATGTATCACATCATACAAGGAAGGTACACTATGATCACCCCCCTCCCCTTTCCCCAACACCCATAACTATTTGAATAACTCACTGAAGATCAGGCTTTCTGTTATTAGTTTTTACTTAGAAGATAGCTTGCTGCAAAAATGTGATTCCATTTTCTTACCTCAAAGTCAAAGGTATGTGATACAACGTGTGACACCATAAATGATATCACATTCAAGTGTGTGGAAAAACTACATTTCCAACATTGTGTGACGTGCCATAGTGCTACCACTGTGATGAACTCAAATCATGGGGGCCAAGGCCAAGTTAGTCATATCACCAAACTACGCCTAGTCCGAAAGTTCAAAATACCGACTACTTACTATATTATATTTGATTCGTTAGAAAACGTGGACAGGTTGTATGGGCCTGCATTCTAAGGTAAGAAAGACAAATGTTTTTATAGATGTAATATTATCATCTCTACAGTACTGAATATAGGGCTCTAGTTAAGAAATTACCTTTTTATAAGATATAAAATGAAGCACCTATACTGAGTCATTTGGTTTTTGTTTGTTTGGGGGTTTTTTAATGGTCAATTAATTCCGTAATGATAATTTATATTGAAGTCTTTAATTCTACTATGAAAAGTAAGTAAGTTTCTAATTCAGTAATTTATTTTGTTCAATCAAGAAACACTGGATGTTGACCATTTCCTTATGTCGCTCTGTTCCTGTTATTCAAGTTTAACAAGTACTCGTTTACTGGTTCCTTCCGAAAAGGATCAGACAGGACACTGACGCAAAATTAACTTTTCTTTAGACAACTTTCAGAGGACTTTCAGAGTCAGTAGAAAACGACGTGTAAATGACATATCCTCGTGTCCTGTGTAGCGGAAACACTCTTGGTGTCGACTCGGTACAAGGTGTCGTGTCATATAGATCTAGCGCCTTTGGAAATCTTCCTGTTATATTTATTTGGTTTTCTTATACAATGATATTGGTTTAGAGTCTGACAAATAAAAATGTTCATGTTAATGTAAAAATCATGCATGCACAACCTAGCTAGTAAAGGGTATGGGTTTATTTTAGGTGACTAAAAAAACTATTTTGTAAAATATCTAAAAGAGTCTAGATCTAGATCTACATGCTGTGAAGACACCTATTATCTCACCTGGATGAAACTGGAGACTTTTCATAGTGGGCGACATCTCTGTATTGTCAGCGTCCCATATCCAGGTGTTCTCGGTTACCAAGTCCGACAATCCTAGCAAGTAGTTTCCAGGAAACGCAATAATAATGTCCTTGTAGAGTTGATACTTCTCTGCTGTCTGGGTACTGAAGACGAAACCTCCTTTTGCTGTCAGTGATGGATAGGGAAAGAGGATTATAGGGATGAAGAATAGTTTGGGTGATGGTAGTAGCAATAAGAAAATGAGGAATTTTGAGGAAAAATTTTGTAATGGGGGTGGTGAGGGCGGGGATTTCAGAAAACGGAAAAGTTTCACTAACGCTTCTATCAAAACTACCACTCAACAGTATAGAAACGAGAGCATGCAACAAGAAATCAAATGTAAACAGAGGAAGAGAAAGGCACGGGTAAAGATGGATAGAGGGGTCAACATTAGTCAAGAACAGTGTGGCACAACCATTACACAGGCGATAAAGCTAACAGAAGAAAGGTGTTTGCTTCTCCCCTCGACACGGCAAGGTAACAGAGACCGGAAAAGATAAATAAAAAAAGTAAAAGTATGTAATGACATTCAACGTGTTGGCTATGGAAAGGAAAGAGGAGTGGAAGGTAATGTTTGGAATAAAGTTTGTTTTTAATAAAATATTAAATTTGTCTCGTACCGTGTTTCTTTGAGAGAGAGAGAGAGAGAGAGAGAGAGAGAGAGAGAGAGAGAGAGAGAGAGAGAATAATCGTAATATCCTACTCAGACAATAAGTGTGCCTTGCAAAAGTCTAGAGTAAACATCAAAGTCCTCATGGTGGGCAAGATTTGGTTTCAAGTAAAGGGATATAAATCTAAATAGTGGAGCCCAGTTGCAGACTAGGTGAATCAGACTTTATATTTAACATTCAGCTTCCTCCAGGGATATCACGATTACAATCAATAACAGGCAATCGAGGTGGGACGTATCGCAAAGGACAATGAGCTTTTAGTCAAAATTTAAAAGCAATGTGCCCTGCAGGAACTGGCTGGAAGAAAAAGGGGAGGGCCCCGTTATATAGCAAGAAAAAGAAACATGGTTTAATTGAGAAAATGCTTTCCGAAAGAGGGCGTGGGGTGGGAGTATGGGTGAATAGTGCAGGTAAGAAACACATAAAATTATCGGGAAGAAATTGAGACACACACACACACACACATACACACACACACACACAAATGCACACACACACTCACTCGCGCGTGCACGCACACACACACACACACACACACACACACATGC